CAAACCAGCTCTCATGAGGTGGAAGAACATAAAGTTTATTAAGTATTGAGTGCAGAGACAGCTGAGGGAAAAAAGGATAAAGAGAGAGCATGGACCTGCTGAGTGGAGCACGAGAGCTATGCGCAAAGTTGGATGCCAGAGCAGAGTTTCTCCAAGTTTAAAGCGCACCACACATCTATTGAAAAGCGTGTGGGAGGTTTAACCACAGCACACTATGATCAGATGGTAACGGTGCGCTGAAGATGGTGTCACAAAACAAATACAGAATTATGGAAACATAACAGATTTAAACCCCTTCTTTGTTTACCTGTTCCATGGTGGCTCTTTCTGTCCACTGCCAGCCACAGTAGGAGTATTATTATCTTCCTTCTTTCTTTAATGCCAACTCTCCTGTGTGACAACTCTAACAGGTATCAGCACTGAGAGCCAATAAAATATGGATGACTGACACTTCCAGAAAACTCCTCTTTTGTCAGAGCCTCGTGCCTGTGCTGCCTTCACTGCAGCTGGGAAATTACAAAACTGCTCATTTAATATCATAGGGAGTTTGTAGGGACAAACTGGATTTAACAACAGGCTAACTTTGTCAAAGTTAAGATGGCTGTGCATTTTAAAACCTAAGTTTGTGGCCATTGGTTTTACAGAAGGATCCAGATAGCCCAGGTGTAAAGGTAGGCTCTCAGAAGAGCCTCCAAAAAGCATCACTTTAATCTGTTTTTAATTCAAATGTAAAAAGTATAAAGCCATCCATGCTTTCACATCATCCAAACATTTCAGAAGAGATTCAACAGTTTTTGTTTCACCTCAGCAGGAGATCTATCGTCTGCATCAAAGTGAAGAGAAACCCCATGTTTCCTAAGGATCCAAGTGGAAGCAGATAAAGAGCAAAAAGAAGGGAGCCTAAAACAGAACCATGAGAAACTCCACATAAAAGAGGAGCAGTGGAGGACGAAGAATTTGACACAAAATTTTCAATTACTTTGAAAGGATCTGAACCACTGCACTGCTCTTCCTTGGATCCCCACCCAATGCTCCAAACCAGATAACAGGATATTATGACCCACTCTATCAAAGGCAGATTTCACTGGCCAGGAACATTTCAAAGCAAGCATAAGCAGACAAACCTGGGGACATTTTCACAGGTTTTAGTGATTGCTTTGAATGAATCAACTGAGAAAATTTGTAAACTATAACATTATTTTCCTTTTGGAAAGAGGATTAAATCGTAAAATAATCAGAATCAGTATTACTTTATTAATTCATGGATGGACATTATTTTCTTGCAGTGCACCAATTTACAGAAGAGAGCAAAATAGTTCTGGATAATACTGCAACCCCACACTGAAATTCAACTCTCTGTTTCATGTTTCCTGCTTATTATATAATAAATCATGAGAGGAAGTTTGAAAAAGAAATAAACTTTAACTGGATCAAAGAAATGAGGAAGAAATCAGACTTTATCCTGAAGATCCTCAGTCTGGATCAGTAGAATATCAGCCATATGTCTGCAGTTTAGAGTCAACACAACTTTACCATCAGAAATATCAACACTGAAACTAAAACATGGTGAATGACCTCAATGTCTGTACTTTGTAGAGGGGAGACTGGAGAAAACCACAGAGCTGCTTCACTCCACCATCTTCCAGGTTGATGTTGAAGCTCAGGTCCAGTTCTGACAGATGGGAGGGGTTGGACTTCAGAGCTGAGACCAGAGAAGCATAGCTGATCTCTGACAACTTGCAGTTCCTCAGTCTGAATAAAGAATAAAAGACGTGTTGAAGCAACTGTAGAGACAAATAATAAACATTAAGATAACAGAATATTTATTTAGATATAAGATAGGAGGTTTTTGGTAGAAATCAAATAAAGTTTCCAAATCAGCTCTTATGAGGTCGAAGAACATCACTTTTGTCTTTTTTTCATTAAAATGTAAAATGTTTAGAGCCATCCATGCTTTCACATCATCCAAACATTTAAGAAGTGATTCAACAGTTTTTGTTTCGCCTCAGCAAGAGATCTGACGTCTGCATCAAAGTGAAAAGAAACCCCATGTTTCCTAAGGATCCAAATGGATTGCCATTAATAATTGGCAATCCTTTTGGGGAAAGCCTGGTCTGATTCGGAGAGATGGCATCCATCCCACTTTGCATGGTGCAGCTCTTCTTTCTAGGAATCTGGCCACATTTATTAGTCCTCCAAAACCCTGACCACCC